ACAATTAGAAAATGTTTAAGCTTGAGAAGGGTTCAGAACTTCTCCAAAACAAAGTGATGTATTTTGGCTAAGGTATTCAGTTAATTGTGTATATCCAAAGAGAACTTCCAACTATTGTCTGTATGGTGGATTTTTTGGTAAACTATGTATAAAAATGTTGTGATTTCTGTAGATTCTGAATAATAATAACTTTCTTTTTATTTCCAAGTATACCAAAGATGGCAGAAAAACCAGAGGAAAGTGAAAGATTTGGAAGAAATATAGGCAAGTAGAATGTTTAATTGATTGTTTCTTTGTGACTTTGGAGCTTTTTTCCTAATGCTTGTAGTTTTAAGGTTTGGTTGGCTTGCTTGCTTTGCTTGTATAAATGTTTGCTCAAGCATCGTAGTTAAGATTGACATCTGCAATCAATAGATAGGCGGGGCTTCAGCTTGTATACATTATACTCTGCATTATACTTAACATCCACTAACATTTAAGTATGAGTATAATGTATACAGGCTGAAGCCCCACCTATCTATTGATTGCAGATGTCAATCTTAATTACAATGCTCTAGCAAACATTTATACAAATGAAGCAAGCAAGCCAACCAAACCTTTGAACAACAAGCATTAGGAAAAAAGCCCTAATTGTATTGCTGTTTTTCATAATCAAGTTCACAGACAAGTCCTTCAACAATTAGAAAATGTTTAAGCTTGAGAAGGGGTCAGAACTTCTCCAAGACAAAGTGATGTATTTTGGCTAAGGTATTCAGTTAATTGTATATATCCAAAGAGAACTTCCAACTATTGTCTGTATGGTGGATTTTTTGGTAAACTATGAATAAAAATGTTGTGATTTCTTTAGATTCTAAATAATAATAACTTTCTTTTTATTTCCAAGTATACCAAGGATGGCAGAAAAACCAGAGGAAAGTGAAAGATTTGGAAGAAATATAGGCAAGTAGAATGTTTAATTGATTGTTTCTTTGTGACTTTGGAGCTTTTTTCCTAATGTTTGTAGTTTTAAGGTTTGGTTGGCTTGCTTGCTTTGCTTGTATAAATGTTTGCTCAAGCATTGTAGTTAAGATTGACATCTGCAATCAATAGATAGGCGGGGCTTCAGCTTGTATACATTATACTCTGCATTATACTTAACATCCACTAACATTTAAGTGTGAGTATAATGTATACAGGCTGAAGCCCCACCTATCTATTGATTGCAGATGTCAATCTTAATTACAATGCTTGAGCAAACATTTATACAAATGAAGCAAGCAAGCCAACCAAACCTTTAAACAACAAGCATTAGGAAAATAGCCCTAATTGTATTGCTGTTTTTCATAATCAAGTTCACAGACAAGTCCTTCAACAATTAGAAAATGTTTAAGCTTGAGAAGGGTTCAGAACTTCTCCAAAACAAAGTGATGTATTTTGGCTAAGGTATTCAGTTAATTGTGTATATCCAATGAGAACTTCCAACTATTGTCTGTATGGTGGATTTTTTGGTAAACTATGTATAAAAATGTTGTGATTTCTGTAGATTCTGAATAATAATAACTTTCTTTTTATTTCCAAGTATACCAAAGATGGCAGAAAAACCAGAGGAAAGTGAAAGATTTGGAAGAAATATAGGCAAGTAGAATGTTTAATTGATTGTTTCTTTGTGACTTTGGAGCTTTTTTCCTAATGCTTGTAGTTTTAAGGTTTGGTTGGCTTGCTTGCTTTGCTAGTATAAATGTTTGATCAAGCATTGTAGTTAAGATTGACATCTGCAATCAATAGATAGGCGAGGCTTCAGCTTGTTTACATTATACTCTGCATTATACTTAACATCCACTAACATTTAAGTGTGAGTATAATGTATACAGGCTGAAGCCCCACCTATCTATTGATTGCACATGTCAATCTTAATTACAATGCTTGAGCAAACATTTATACAAATGGAGTAAGCAAGCCAACCAAACCTTTAAACAACAAGCTGTTGTAATTAGAACATTAGAAAATGTTTAAATGAGAAGGGGTCAGACCTTCTCCAAAACAAAGTGATGTATTTTGGCAAAGGTATGCAGTAAATTGTGTATATCCAATGAGAACTTCCAACTATTGTCTTTTGTCTGTTTGTCCGTCTGTCCAGCTTTGGATTAAAGTTTTTAGTCAAGGTAGTTTTTGATGAAGTTGAAGTCCAATCAACTTGAAACTTAGTACACATGTTCCTTATAATATGATATTTTTAATTTTTATGCCAAATGAGAGTTTTGACCCCAATTTCACGGTCCAGTGAACATAGAAAATGATAGTGCAAGTGGGGTATCCGTGTACTATAGATATCTTGTTCATCTTGAAAAAGTGGACTTATTATTTCGGGCCAAAAAGGGCCCTTATCAGCCAACTCCTTTATACAACTGTCATGTGCAATTTGACTTTTGAATTTACATTGATGATTAAAGAATATTATTCAATTTCATTTGTATATATGAGTTATAGTTTTGTCTTTTAACTATAAAAAATGAAAAACAACAAGCTATAAATTTCATGCGTCCGAAGCGCTTTTCTGGATTTACCTTCATCAGAAACGCTCAATGGCAAATATTTGAAAGCCAAGGAAACCCTTGGAACACCATAAAACATTCATATGATTGAAAGAATAAAAATAAATAAATTTAAAGAAATGTGGGGTTCCAACCCCTAAAACATCCCCTCGGGCCCCCAATGCTATACCATGAGTATTCAGTGCAATTTCATATCGAAATATTGTTTTCATAAATCACTGGGAGTTGGCCTGAAAGAAAGATTTTCTATTTCACTATGCTTTGAAATTGAAGAAATGGTTGAATTATTTCAACAATTAATTTGCTGTACATTTTTTGTCTAGTCTTGTATATATATGAAAGATACATTTAGAAAGTGACTGTTGATAAATAAATTGATTTTAAATTTCGTACCATCACAGACATGTTACTAAATAAATGTATCATACAAAAGTCTATCATCGTAGGTACGGTGTTTCAGTTGTGATGGATGTGGAGTCCTAACAGGCTGACATTTTGGGCAAGGGCAGGTAATACCCCTGTTTTACTCCTCATTTTGGAAGTTCCTTTAGTATTGGGCAATAACTAGACATTTTTATACCCCCGCTTTAAAAAAGTGGGGGTATACTGTTTTACCTCTGTCTGTCCTGCCGTCAGTCCGTTGATCAGTCCGTCCGTCCCATGCTATTTTCGTCGCATTTTTCTCAGGAACTACTTGACAAGGATTTCTGAAATTTGTTTTCAGGGTTTATATAAGTAAGTTACACCGTGTGATGCGTTTTCAGATTCATCACTTAACAACTTCCTGTTTACCAAACACTTGTATTATATTACACATGATAGCCAAGTTGAAAATTTTAGTCACATTTTTCTCAGGAACTACTGGACAAGGATTTCTGAAATTTGGTTTCAGGGTTTATATAAGTCAGCTATACCGTGTGATGCGTTTTCAGATTCATCACTCAACAACTTCCTGTTTACCGAAATATTTTGGCGGGGGTATCATTAGTGAGCAGTAGCTCACAGTTTTACTTGTTTAATTATGTTCATTTTATGTGTATAAGTATTTATATATCAGATGTCTGCTAACAAGTCTATTACTATTGTATGGAGCGTTGTAAAAAAAAACTGTAAGCAGAGATCTTTATAACAGTGTTTTAAAGGGTGGAAAAAAATTGCGGGTTACAACTAAACTTTTGGTAAAATTTCAAAATATTGGTTCTGTTTAAAAGCTCATCTCTGGTACTTAATACATCAAAGTATAATAAAATCGTCATGATTGGAAAAAAGAAAGTAATGTGAGAAAAATAAATATTTTTGTGACAAACTGTATATTATTAAATGTTGTGAATGAAGTAGACATTTCAGTTATTCAAATGGACTTTAGTGGAGTCAAATAGCATAAACGCCATTGAAGGCAGCCAGGATATCAGCTCCAAGGAAGATGGTTACATAGATCTTTAACCAAGTCTGATGATTTAGAATGAAAGAAATCAGGCAAGTTTATTTAAGCCATACATTATCTTTACATCCTGTCAATTTACATGTACATAAAAGTACACAAGACAACGTACAATATTATTCTTGTAATTATCTTTCTCATTCACAAAAGTTTATTTTATCTTTAAGGGGAGACAAGTGCAACAAACAAACAATGATGTTTTATTCAATGGGAGATTACTCAGACAATTTTTGTGCAGATGGAATAAGATCTAACCTTTTTCCAACTCTTAAATTCTTTACACAGACAGGATTGATGCTATATAATTGGGTAGTAAGAAACAGAATAACTTTGATAAAATTTTAGGATGACAGTCATACTGAATTGTAAAAATATATAATTTATGTCAATTTTTGGAAATATTTTATGATGTACATGTCAGTCTCACAGGTTTTATTTGACCTTGACCTCATTTTCACGGTTCATTTCTCAGTGTTAAGTTTTTGTGTTTTGGTCTGTTTTTCTTCAACTATAAGCAATAGAACAACTATATTTGATGTATGGAAGGATTGTAAGGTGTATATGTCTGTCTGGCAGGTATCATCTGACCTTGACCTCATTTTCATGGTTCATTGGTCAATGTTAAGTTTTCATGGTTAAGTTTATTTCTTAGATACTATAAGCAATAGGTCAACTATATTTAATGCCTAAATTGATTGTAAGGTGCACATGTCTGTCTGGCATGGTTCATCTGACCTTGACCTCATTTTCATGGTTCATTGGTCAATGTTAAGATTTCTTGTTTAAAACTGTTTCTTAGAAACAATAAGAAATAGGTCAACTATGTTTGGTTTATTGAATGATTGTAAGGTGTACATGTATTTCTCGTTTGGTTTATCTGACCTTGACCTCATTTTCTTGGATCATGTTAAGTTTATGTGTTACTTGTAGTAAAGCTTTGTATTTAGGACTATCAACATAAAATCAATGGTTAGTAAAGAAGGCGAGACATTTCAGCGTGTGCACTCTTGTTATTCCTTTTAGGTTATTTCTGAGAAGTTTCATGGTATTGGGAGTAAGACTCGGTGGCCTTATACAGCAAAGATATAAGTAGGTTTATAATTTCTTTATTTGAAACAAATATTTTCATAATAAATAAAAAAATATCAGGAAAATAATGTGCCCTGAGGATTGAAAAAAATATATAATCAACATCGTTATAGGTTACAACAAACCATTAAATATTATGGGTGCAGCCAGTTTAAAAGATAACATGATATTAAGAATTAAAAGTATGACTAATCCTGATTGAATCATGTGTGCAACCATTATTTTTTATTACTAGACACTTCAAGCACTCTGCATTAAACCAAAGGCAAAATAATGTATTTCCCTCAGCGCTAAAGGGACTGAAGTGTTTTCTACGTTGTGAGGAGACACATATTTTAAAGTGCAGAATTGATAGGCAAGGAAGATTTTTGGACTGAATAATACTAACATCCTTTTACTTTAGTCATGTATAACCTATATCTATATATACATTTAATTTTCCAACAGTAATTCTAATCTAAACATTTTTTTAATCATTACGTTTTCTAGGTTAGCATTCAGTTTGTCCATAAGGATTGAGACTGGAAATGGCAATTGGAGCAGACTTTTAAGGTAAGATTTAAACACTACTCATTCTTGCTTAAAAATTTGTGTAGTTTAAAAGTTTAAAATTTACCACTAATGCATTACTATGAAAAATTATAATTGTAATTCCTACGTCATTATTATTTTTGAGTAAATATTTTTTCAGTTCTTTTATATTTTATGACAAATTAATTAAAAAGTGTCTTATTTCTTTTTCAGGATGCCATTACTGTGGCTGCATGAAATAATTGTGTGATCTATTCTGTAAAAAGAAAAAAAAAGCAATTGAAAAATGTTAAATATGTTTTAAGAAAACAAATTGTAAAGATTCTCCAATTTCTACAAGAATGGAAGTTTGAATTTCTAATGATCTTAAAATTTAAATTTAGGAAAATTTCTTTTTATCCCTTGCATAAAATGGCTAGATCTTTTTATACTTACAAACCTCAGAGGGAATATTAACACTTCTAGTGGTTTAGAATGGAGGATCTAAAAAAAAAGAAAAAAAAAAAACTTTTGTAAAATATTTCAATTTATTTTACAAGAAGCATAGTTAAAGAACATCTAGGGTGAAAATGAAAGAGTACTAAATGTTATATTTAAATTTGGTGATTTAAAAAAAAAAATCATATTCTTATTCCATTAAATTTTTGTTTTTGTTAAAAGACAGCAAGGGTGAAAAATTGTGTTTAATCCTTCAAAAAATTATTTATATTTTTTTAAATGGAAATTAAAATTCTTTTTGATTAATTTTGCAATATTGATGATAAATTTAAGATGTAACATATAGCAAAATTTGTTTATATTTATTTACTTTCCATCGCAAACATGTGTCAAACGAAAGCCTATCACTTGAGGTATTCTGCCCAGTTGTAATGAAGTCCCAATTAGGGTCAAATTTGGGGAAAGGTGAGGTAATAATACTGTTGAACTAATCATACTGGAAGATCCTTCAGTGTAAGCAATATACTAGACATTTTTTAATCAACATAATTTATGATATATGTGTGAGGTTTTTTTTTAACTTGTCAGATGTTTGCTAATTTTATTGACTATTATTTAGAGCTCTGTAAATAAAAAAAAATGTAAACAAAGTTCTAAATAATAGATTTTTATCAGGGGAGGATCCTGGATTTTTGAAAAGAGGGAGGGGCATATTTCCATCAAAGTGAAGAAATTTTTTTCAGATGATATAAAACTTAAAAACGATGTATTTTCCAAACAAAGCCAGGCATACATCCTCTATGCCAACCCCCTTGAATCCACCACTGTTTACTGTGGGAGAAATTATTTGTCACTACTATTATTGAGTATATTCTCAAAAAATGATCAGTTGAAAGTGCAGGCATCTGATATTTTTGATGAACTGTATTTTGTAAAAATAAATGGAAAACAAATACATTGACAAGTGATTAAATAAACTGTTTTAAACAAAAATAACATGAGACTTTATGAACTAGTGTCTAAAGGTTTTGACAAAACTCATAGAATAGGAGGACATTCATTCACTAACATTGATACAATGATGACAGCCATCTTGGCAGCCAGGATAGCAGCTCTAAGGAAGATTGTCAATTCTTCAACCAATTCTGAGGCTTTACCATGAAATATTTGTGGTAAGTTTAAATACTCCACAAACTTGATAGTAAAGGCATTAAAACAATTATTTTCTTGAGGATTCTTTTTCTATTATTGACATTGATTTTATCTTTACATAACATAAATTTGTTTTCAACATTGAAACCATAATCATTTGTTATTAGTTTATCCATCTACATTTGGTATCCAGTTTACAGATTGAAAGTTGATAATACAAAATTTTGAAAGAAATAAAAGCATAATGATTGGCCAGGTTTTCATTGGTTAATGTAAGCGTGACATTCTGCATAACAGCACATGGCTCAGCAGGATAACAATTATTTTAATGTCCTTTGGTGCAGAAAAATAGACAACAAATACTGTCCATCGACAATTTGATTCTAAATTTAAAAGACATTAAAAAACAGCATTTATATATAACTCGAATAACACATAGCTGTGATGCTGATAAAGCAGATTGTCACCACTTGAAAAAACATTGTCAACTTTGGATTTGCATTGGTTGAAAATGTTATACTCTCATGGCTATGTGTTATTTATATGCTGTATTGTTAAAGAAATCTAACATGCTTGGATTGATCTGTAAAAGAAATATTTCAAACACTCCTTTTTTTTTATTATTTGATTATAGGTTGATGTAATGTATTCATGGTGTTGAAGTAAAACTTGGGAGATCTGATACTGCTAACATTTTGGTAGGTATGAGTATATTTGATTTTACGGTTTTGCCAAAGTCTGCTTACAAGTCTATACAAAATTTGTAATTCGAATAAAACTTTAATTGATGTTATGGTTAAAAAATGTCTCTTAATCTTTATTTCATCTTTATATTTTCTGCTGTAACTGTAATTGTAATTACAGTCCTTTTCAACTACTTTCTCTTATTCACTCTGTTAAAGTGATGTACTGAACAGTGGTGGATCCAGAACTTTTTATAATGGGGGAGCCCACTGACTGACCTAAGGGGGGCCGCTCCAGTCATGCTTCAGTGATTCCCTATATTATCAACCAAATTTTTCTTACAAAAGGGGGGCCGGGGCCCCCAGCCCCCCCCCCCCCCCCCCTTGATCCGCCTATGCTGAATTAGAGAATGGTTTTATGATAAGAGTATTGTATTCACTGAAGTAAGGGAGGTAATCTACCATTTATTTGTCATGAAAAGGCTGTTAGAAAGATGAGATGTTTAATAGCTTTGCTTGAATGATTCAGTTTTGTATTTTTTCATTACAAATTTTCATAGAATTCATTTCTTTTGTTTATATATTGAGAAAATATTTTGAGTAAATGTCAATGATAATGAACTAAACAATGCAAGTTTATCAAAGAGAAGCGAAAGATACCAAAGAGATATTCAAACTCATAAGGCAAAAACGAAATAGCCACAGTAGTATTATTCCAGTATGTCAATTTAAAAATGAATTACAACTTAATAGCTTCTGCATGTATCTGACACTATGTGTGATAGATACGATAGCAGTCATAGTGATTTTAACACCTTAAAAATCAAAATTGGTATATAAAGATGGCTTTCCATTTTATCATAAATTTAGCTGCATGATGTCTATTGCAATATTTTTTGTAGTAATCAATAAATTTGAATAGAAAACAAGTTTTTTTTAATACAACAATAGCTATCTATTTAAATAAAAAAAATGCCACTCAAATATTTTAATCCCTAAAACATGACTTTAACATTACCTTATTCATATATTTTAACATTACTTAATTATTATGAATTGTCAACGAATGAAATATTATTTAAATTCTTTTACAGGTAAAAGTGTAACTGCTGCTGCCTTAGTGTGTGGTCAGTCCTGTGGACAATAATTATGGGTCAATCCTGTGGAAGATAATAATCATGCAAACCATATGATAAACTAGTGTTGTTTTGTTTTTACTATTATCATCCAAACCATATGATAAACTAGTGTTGTTTTGTTTTTACTATTATCGTCCAAACCATATGATAAACTTGTTTTGTTTTTACTATTATCATCCAAACCATATGATAAACTTGTTTTGTTTTTACTATTATCATCCAAACCATATGATAAACTTATTTTGTTTTTACTATTATCATCCAAACCATATGATAAACTATTGTTGTTTTGTTTTTACTATAATCCTTAAATGATTTATTCTCTATTCTTTTAACCCCATCCAGACCCTCATACTTATCATATTTAGTTGTCATAGATTATCTTCAGTATCAAATGGCACTGTGTATTTTTTATGGGGGTGGGGGTTGTCAAAATCAAATTTTAAGTGTCCCCATTGAAATGAATGGATTTGTGAAACAAGAAAGCAAAATTAAGCAGCTTCTATCATAATTTTATAATGTGAATGATAAGATGGTTTGCATATTTTTTAGTTTGTTTCACTGCTTGTAGTTGTCAGATGCCAGCATTGAAGATTCAAATTAAAATGAAAATTCATTATATGAAAGTGTTGAAAAAAGGCCAATAATACTCTTTTACTGTAAATTCAGAAATTAATGTGTGCATTTATTATTGTAAATTCTCGACATCTGGCTAAGGTGTGAAATTTAATTACTACGATTGCAAAGATTTGATGAAGGAAATTTACTACTAAAATTATGAATGCGACTGTTTATTATTGTGAACCATACTGTCGCATTTTTCGCATTAATAAAAACCACAATAATTTATGATTTTACAGTAATTATTATTGGAGTAATAGATTATGAGCCAACAGATAATATTGCTCTCTTTCATACATTTCGTAATGAAGAAATTTGACTTTAAAGTTATCTCCCTTCCTTAGAAAAAATTTAGTACTCGTTCCCTGCAGAATGCTCAATTATTACAATTAGATATGTAAATTGAACTGTACTACAATATACCCAATCAGATTTAGTATTAGAAAAGGATAGAAGTGCAAAAAGATTAAGAATCTTTGCAAAATAACAAAACTTGGGGTTTAGATGGAAAAAATAAAAGGCAATTATATTTTCTAGGTGATAAGTTTTTTGCACATATTTAGAAGTGGAGTTTATTTAAATCACTCTAGGAAATGGGTCAAAAACACCTCAAATAAACAAATTTAGTATGTTTTTACCTTTTTATTGTAGCTTGTACAATATTTTTGTTTGTTTAAGATTTCTTTTATATTGTTTGAAATGCCGTTTTTAAAAGAACAAGACAAACTCTGGATTCATGTTTTTTGTTGTTGAATTCTATAAATTCTTATACATTTAGTATTAAGTTATTATTGATATATATATATTAATTATTTCTTTAACATTTATAATGATTTTGCTTTTGAAGCAAATTGTTTTGTTTCATTTAGGTATTGTGTTATGTAATGCATTATAATGGTATTTGATGAATACATTGATTGGTAAATAAAATTTATTTTAGAAAATTGGTCTTATTTGACTCTTGATGAAAATTGAATGGGGAAGAGGTTTCTTTTGTAAGGGATATGCAACTATTCTGCCCATGATATTCATATAGCTTACTCAGGTGAACAGGGAATTTTGAAATACCTTCTTGTTTCTAGAAATTAAAGCATCACAATCCATAACACAATCTGTATGAAAGTTATTTTAGATTTCAAGCAATAAAGCATTGAAGTACCATCATGCCAAAGACCTTAGGGAGAACATTTGATATGTGACGGGTGATTTTTATTTCCATCACATTGTGTCTATCCTCATCATTCTTCAATTTTGTAGAAATTTTCTCAACCTCAGGCAACATGGGATTATTGCCATGTCTGTCTGTGTAGGTTGTGACTGGTTTAGAACTAAGAATGCTTCGAAGGAAATTAATTTACTTGGTATAATTGTTGCCCATCACCTCAGGTGGGTGTTGTTAGAAAGTTATCTGCAAGGTCAAGGTCGCAATAGTTTTTAACTATTGAAGTCCCACTCAGAACTTTTGAAATCTTTGCAGGATATGAGATGAGATCAGTTTGGGACCTTTACTTGGTATGATTCATGCCTTCCATGCCAGAGGTAGTGCATAAAATAAAGTTTGGAATGGTTATTTGCAAGGTCAAGGTCACGACCATAATTTCAAATACAGCTAAAGTTGTCTCACAGTCACAATGTTTGATTGCTTTGAAGGATATTAATGATAAAATGCTTGCCCACCACCAAAGGGTGAATTAATTGGTTGGAATGTTTGTCTACAAATTAAAGTTCAATAGGTTTTATATTATTTAAGATAAATACAAGGGACATAAAATATCTTTTTGTGAGCTTCGCAGTAGTCCGACACAGGGATAAAAACATTATTCAACACTTTATCCTACATTCTGTTGATACCTATGTTTTTGCATTGCACAATATCATTTTTCTCTCTCGACTTTTAATGTCCTCTTTACACTAAATCCATTGGATGTAGGATGTGTACTTATTGATATTTGAGTCTTATATACATAATTGTTTTATTATTATTGGCCTTGAATTAGCTTTTAGTAACTTCGAGTACTCTCAGATCTCAACTGTGTGTTTTTGGTGTGCCAAGTGCACTATTCTCATCACTTGTCGTCTGTTAACGTCTACAAAAATCTTCTCTGAAATTGCTGGACAAAATTTTACCAAACTCTACCACAATCATCATTTGGGTATATTTAGTTTAAAAACAATGTGTCTGATGACCCCTGCCTGCCAACCAACATGACTAAAAATGTAACATAAATTTTCTCTTATCTTGAAAACTACTAGACATAGAGAGAACCTGACGGGCAGAAATGTTCAGAATGTTGAGATCTCCATACTGTCACATCAACACTGTCAGACGACTTCTTATTAGAGTTATTGCCCTTTAATGACGATTTTTACTAATTATTTGCGTTTTTGCCTACTATTTTGAAAATTATAATAGATAGATACAAATTTTAGATAGCACATATGATCAGCAAGACAATATCTACACATACGTAAACATGGCTGAAATTGTCAGTTGATTCTTTATTGGAGTTATTGCCCTTTAATGACGATTTTTACCAATATTTTTTATGTTATTGCCTATTGATTTGAAACTATAATAGAGAGAAACTTTAAATAGCAAAAATGATCCACAAGGCAATATCTACAATTAAGTTGATGTTCAACACTTTATATAGGAGTTAAGGCCCTTAAATGACATTTTTGCCTATTATAAAATAAAAAAGACATTTTTAAAGCAAATCAAGCTCTGCAAATAGGTCACTTGTCTTAAAATCTAGGAGTTATTCATAAATGACCAGTCATGAATTATATTCTTGTCTACAATGTTGGAGAGTGTACATTGTTGGAGATGAACAAAGGCCTAGGTGAGCAATACAAGCCTTTAGTTGTTAGTTGTTTTTGTTCTATGTATCGATCTGATGGGCGAGGGTTGAGAGCCCGCAAACATGTTTTAACCCCGCCACATTCTGTATGTGCCTGTCCCAAGTCAAAAGCCTATAGTTCAGTGATTGACATTTGTTGCTCTATATCATATTTGTTTTTCGTTTGTTTTGTTCCATCCGTAAAGGCCATTAGTTTTCTCGTTTGAATTGTTAATATTTGTCATTTCAGGGCCTTTTATAGCTTGCTATCTGGTATTGATTTTGCTCATTGTTGAAGGCTGTATCGACAGGTGACTTATAGGTGCGAACTTCTACATCATTTGGTCTCGGGTGGAGAGTTGTCTCATTGGCAATCATTACACATCTTCTAAGGGAGCTACCATTTGATTTTTATGGGGGGCTAGGATGAAAAATTTTGTCTTGCATTTTTTTTTAGTTGTAATCTCTTTTTTTATTAGTTTATCCTTACTTTTTTTACATAAATTGTCATCCTGTTTTTTTTTTTTGCGAAGTTGCTCATCCTGCCTTTTTTTTTTAACTCAAAACTCCTTTCCTGCCTTTTTTTTCAAATTTCATCCTAGCCCCCATAAAAATCAAATGGTAGCTCCCTTATTTGTATATCTATATTTTGAAGATACAAGTGTGGACACAGATCAGTGTGGATAGTAATAGTTTGGTTTGATTCATGGTACTTTGTGACTTTCATACTGAAGTTTGTAAGATATGCTTTATACAAATAGTAATATTAAGGAGGTATTACTATATTTGTTCTCTTTTTTAGCAGAACTTACAGATATTTTTTATTGAATTTGTAGGCTTATCTACAATGTTTGTTTAGTATGGTGTTCACCACCCTAGTAGCATTTGTGCATGCTTTGGTTTGAATGTCTTTCTCATTGGGTCTACTGAAGAAGATGGAGTCAAATTGATCACAATACTTCACACAATAGTCCACTCTAGTGTCATTTTAGTGCCATCTTTGAGCATGTTTTGTGCCTAGACCCACAAGGCTTTTTGTTTATTTCTAGAAGTCAAATAAGATAAATTATGTAAAGTAAAAGAAATTTTATATATTTTTACTTAATTTAAAATGGAAAAGATAGTGCAGAATTTCATAGTTAAAGTTAAAAGAATTACAACACTGATCTAATTTTATGTGAAAAATCAACACTTGTTCTCCTTTTTCATTTACTCTTTCATTCCAGAAGTTTGTTATGTATTTATGTTTTATAAATAACAAACTTGTTGCATAAAAGTGTCAAATAATGAAAGAAGGAAGTATGCAACTGTAAATTTGAGAAAAAAATACATTAGACAACAGTAGTTGTTATTTCTATAACAAAATTTTATTATTTTACCAACTAGTTTTAATGTTCAACAATGTAAGATAAATTCTTAGTCTGTTTAAGCCTTGTGAGTTTCGTCCCTTTACATGGATTTAAAACAATTACCATTTGTACGTGGGACTCTTCAGTAGGCAGTACAGATGGTTAGAAAAACGGGTTAAACACATAGAAACATATAGCATTTTGATAGTAGTTTTCTGGTAAATAAATATTTGAATCTGGTAGAATTTTTTTTATAGTTCAAATAGAAATAAACTGTTGAAACAGAGATATCTCTTGCCTTTTTGTTATACAAATAGTATAATGCAACTGTTGAATTCAAAATGGCAATTTTCAAACATGTAAACTATGCATAACATTCAGTCGAAGAACCATGACTGAAGGTTCAGGGCCAAATAACATGATGTGACAAAATGATAATTCCTATAAAACATGCATACCAAATACCATTGACTGGTGGAGGATCCAGGGGGGTTCCGGGGGTTGGAACCCCCCTTTTTTTTACGATCAATGCATTTGAATGGGGACATATAGTTGGAACCCCCCCTTTATCCTGGGTTAAGAACCAACCCCCCCCCCCCCCCTTTTATAAATGGCTGGATCCGCCCCTGAATATCATCGTTGACAACTTTTGGCTACAGAACATTTTGGATCCTAGGTTACGGCCAAATATTTCCTCAAGCTTTTAGGTCGGAAAAATGCACAAAATCATCGTTTTTTGACAATATATCCAACATGTGATGACTTTGAAGCCTAGAATGTACTCTAATGAAGAGATGTGTTTAATAGTAGTAAGGCTTTTGAAATAGGTCCATTTAAGAATCAAATTATGGCCATTTTAATATTTTATGATACAGTTGTATTTCAAGGCCATATTTGGCCTAAAGTGAACCTTGTCCTTTCATCAAAGGACAAATCAGGGTTTTTTTCATCTTGTCGTAAAGGGATTAAAGTAATCCCAAATTTCACAACCATATAATGATATTGGCAAAATTGTGTGATCGAATACATATAATGAAATTTTGGGTGAAGGACAATGAGAAATAAATTCCTTACACAGTTTAAAATAAGCTTTTAGACCCTTCTGATCAAGTTCATTTTAAGCATAAGAGAAAGATCCAGATGAACAGAAAGTAATGCCAAGATATTTACATTTTGCTATACTGACTTCAACAATTTTTTGCATTGTTTTTGAAATTACCTTTGAGATGTCTGCCTGCCTTATCGAATATAAGTTCTTTTGTTTTAGATAAGTTCACAGTAAGACACCACTGTTTGCAAAACTTGTCTAAAATATCTAGTTTTTGTTGAAGTCCACGTGATGAGGAGGAGAGCAGAACAATATCATCTGCATACATCAAACAATGTATAGGCCGAGAGTTTAGTATAATCGGGTCCGATGTTTGTTTCAGTAATAAAGGAAGTTAGGACTTAGATTGTCGCCTTGCTTATCTCCCAATTTACTTTCAAACAGTTCAGTGCGAGCAGTGTTACTTGTTTTTATACAAGATTTACTTACAGAATACATATTCTTAATAACATTACAAAATTTAGTACTAACCCCTATTTCTAGGAGATTAAGTCGTAATCCTGTATGAATTATAGTTTCAAAAGCCTTTCTTAGATCAACAAAGCAGACAAACACTCTACCATCCTTTTGTGAACAATATTTATCAATAATACATTTTAAGATAAACATATGGTCAGATGTTCTAGCCTTTTTAGTGAAACCAATCG